GCTAGTGCCGCTCCCTCCAGTGGTCACACCCAACCAGAAACCAATCAATGAGGGAGCCCGGCAGATGCAGCCTAAGGGATCCCATCCTGGGGCTCAGAGCTGAGCAGTGGAGGGCAGAGTGGATGAGGACAGCGGGGGTAGAGGGAGCAGATGGACACTACGCAGCAGGGCATCATTATTTAACTTGTTATGAGGACAAAAATGATGTATGTAAAACACTTAGTATGCAGCTTGATGCATAGTAGGATCTCAACAAACGGAAGCTATTTTCTCATTCTTGGTGTCTTTAATGCAGTTGTATGTCCATGTCATTCTTCACTCAGAGAGCCTGTTAAGTACTCCTTGGATGCCTAGTGTGTGCTGTGCCCTTGTGGAGATCCAAGCAATAGTGTGGTTCTGAGACTGCCTTTGGGGAGATAAGACATGGACACAGATGCCCATGAGACAAGGCAGAGGCCACAAAGGACTGCAGCTTCTAGTGCTCTTTTTCTTCTTTTTCAATACTTGTAAAAGCTCTTTCTTTTTCCAGTAGGATTCCAATTAGAACACATGTTTACTGCAGAAAACATGAAACTTGCAGAAGAACATAAAGAAGAGAATAAAAATGACCACTGTGCCCTCTCCAGAGATAAGCACTGTTAATATTTTTTGTGAATTCCCCTACTTCTACACATTCTGTTTTGCAGAGTTGGTCTCACACTAGACAATGTCATAGCCTGTGTTTTTTTGTTTTTGTTTTCTTCTTCACTTCTTTCATAAGCATTGAAATCATTCCAAAAATAGTTTTTAATGGCTTCATAAGAGTAAATCACATGTTGGGGACGATGAACTGAGAATCAGCAGACTAACTTCTAATTGCGGCTTCATCAGTTATTAGCCACGTGACAACGACAAGCTACTTAACTTTTTCTGAGCTTCAGCTTCTTCCTTTGTAAAATGATGTGGGAGGGAAGATAAAGTAGGCATCTTATAAAGTTGTTGTAAAGAGAAATGAGATAATTTTGTGAAACTATTAGCTCAATGTCTGGGACATGGTGAAGAGCTAAATGGTAGTTATCATAATTGCTGTTATTAGTTCATAGCCATCCCTCTGTTACTGAATATTTCAGGTGTTTTTAGTGTATTTTTAAACAAATGTTATGACATTTTTTAACTTCAATCTCTTTCCACAATTCAGCTTTTTTCTTAGAGTATATAAAGCTAGTGGTCCTGGGTATAAACATGTAGAAGTTTAAGTTCTGGAGTCAGGTTGCGAGAGCTGACGCCCCAGCCATATACGACTTACCAGTTGTGTGATCCCAGAAAAGTCACTTAACTTCTCTGTGCTTCAGTCTCCTCTTCTGTAAAATGAGATAATAATAGTATCATTTGTCTGAGGGTTAAGTGAGATGACAGATGCAAAGCACCTGGCAAAAGCCAAAATAGATATTAGCCAATGTTATTACTATGCATACTGCCATTATATGCTTTTACTTGCATTTAACACTGGGCTGAACACACAGTTAACTTCCAATTAATACATATCATATTAAACTGAATTGAAGATCGGTTACTGTGAGTGTTCCTTGAGTTCTCTGGAAGATGTCCTGACTACTCATAAGGAGGTTAACCCAAGGCCGGTCCTCCCACATCTTACCCCCTCCCCTACTTTGGAAAGTTCTTTCTTTGGAAACTGTCTTTGGAAAGAACTGTCCTTTTTGTCTCAGTTTGACTTTATAAGACTGTTCACTTGTTACAGAGTTTCCTTGACAACCCCCAAATAGTGTAAGACGTCTCCAGAGGCTTCTGGGGTGACGGGCTAAGTCCCTCTCTCCAGTGGTGCCACCCAAGAATTTAGGGACCTTTCCCAGGACTTGCGCCTGTAGTTCTTTTCTTTTTTTTTTTTTGAAACAGAGTCTTGCTCTGTCACCCAGGCTGGAGTGCAGTGGTGCAATCTCGGCTCATTGCAACCTCCACCTCCCAGGTTCAAGCAATTCTCCTACCTCAGCCTCCCGAGTAGCTGTGACTACAGGTGCCTGCCACCACGCCCAGCTAATTTTTGTATTTTTAGTAGAAATGGGGTTTCACCAAGTTGGCCAGGATGGTTCCAATCTCTTGACTTCATGATCGGCCTACCTCAGCCTCCCAAAGTGCTGGGATTACAGGTGTGAGGCACCGCGCCCAGCCAGCTTTTTTCTTACTTCTCACCCACAGCCTGTTTTGCTGTCTTGAGGGCATCAAATTACCTTATTCCAGGCTTGGGATTTGAGCATCTATTGTGTTACAGCAGGGGTCCTCAACCCCTGAGCCACAGACTGTGGGCCATTAGGATCCAGGCCTCACAGCCAGAGGTGAGTGGCGGGCGAGCACGCATTACCACCTGAGCTCCGCCTCCTGTCAGAGCAGTGGCGGCATAAGATTCTCACAGGAGCACAAACCCTATTGTAAACTGCACATGCTAGGGATCTAGGTTGTGCACTCCTTATGAGAATCTAATGCCTGATGATCTGAGGTGGAACAGTTTCATCCTAAAGCCATCCTCCCTGCCCCTACACCAGTCCATGGAAAAACCGTCTTCCATGAAACCCATCCCTGGTGCCCAAAAGGCTAGGGACTACTGGTGCATAGGGTACTGTAGTAGGTACCAGATACTACCTGAGCGAGCTCTTACCTAAAGCAGAAAGCTCTTGGCCAACAAATCAACTCTTAGTATTTGCCTCTTGTTGTGAACATAAATAAACATTTGGTGCTTCAGAGATAACCCCTTTGGTAAACCCAAGAGATATCCCCACTCACATAAGCAAATTAAACACAAAATCCAAATGGGAAGATTAGTTTACGCCAAGGATAGGATTGTGTAATCTAGAAACTCAGCAATACCGGCATACCAGGACACTGGAGCTGATGTGTTAGCAATACAGCATTGGCAATACCCTCTGCTGGGCTTGCTGTATAGCTACCAACCTCCAGCAGAAATGGTACCACTTAAGAGTTAGTAGATTGATCGATGAAGAGATGAACTTCCACATGCTGGGTACAAGGAATGGATGGTCAAGTGGCTAGTTACCATGATCTAATTTTTTAACATTCTCCTACGACGAAGCTTGAAACTCAGGTCTTGAATCCTCACGGGTGATTTCCATGTTGTTAGATGTTAATGTGCATTGTGATATGTCACCCCCAAGCAAACCATCAGTTCATTCATCCCACAAAAGTTTATTAAGCACCTACTGTGTGCAAGGCACTGTTAGGATTCGTGGATTAACCACTGTCTAAATAGGAAAGGAAAATACACAGCAAGCATTCCATAAATCCCTTATCCTTTGCCCAAGCCAGACACTCATCTTGCCACAAGCCTGGACATGGCCTCAGAATCCATCTCAACACAGGGCTCTAGGCAGCTATTATCAATCAAATGGAATTAACATTCCATATTAAGCCTGTTTGCAATCTTGGAGCTAGAACACTGTAGATACTTAGAGAATATGGCGACAAGAGAGCTCAGGAGGTCAAGGCTGCAGTAAGCCGAGGTGGCACTGCACCCCAGCCTGAGTGACAGAGAGAGACCCTGTCTCAAAAAAAAAAAGAAAACTCAAAACAAAACAAAAGCCAATCCTGGTCTGGAAGCTGGACCCTGTATCCAACCCTGGGGAATCCACTGGGGAGAATAGGGAGACAAGAGAAAGAAGTCCAAGCAGTAATCAGCCATTTTGGAATGAGGTAGGATAATTTTCGAAACAGCTCCATAGCTGTGCCACCATGCAAGCTAAGCCAACACCATCTAGGGTAAGGGAGGCTAAGAGCACAGATGCTGCTATTTGACCTTGAGCAAGTCACTTTCATCTATCTGAGCTCCAGTTTTCTTATTTATAAAACAGGGGTGATAATAACAATGCCTACATCATAGGGTTGTGATAAGGATATGAGATGTTGCAATGTATTCAACAATGCAAAAATGTATTTAACATTTAATGATGCAATGTGTTTAACAATACCTGTCTAATAGTAAGCCATTTGCTTTCGATAACTAAATGTAGACTGTATTCGGTAAAGAAGAATAAAATAAATTATCCTCTTCCAACCAATCCATCAGTAGGAGGACATTCTGGACATTTGATAAAACAGAAAGCTTCTAGGCCCAAGTTCTGGAACTAGAGTTATGTTATTTCTATTAGGAAATACACTCATTGAACCTCACAGAGCTTGTTTCCAGGAACTGTCCCAGAATATAAATATTTGGTCACTAGGGCATATATTTCTTAGCTGGAGCTCTGCCCCACCCTGAGACACACCCCACCAGACAGCAGCAATAGTGTAAAATGGCAGCGTGTTCCCTCTTGCCTCGTCAAATGCCTAAAAGGCATATATTCTTTGATTTACAGAAGGAGGCCCTCGCCAAACACATGAAATATTACAACAGAACTTGCACCTAGAAATCAATGAGAATGCCAGATATCCTATACTCCTATTCTGCCACCTTTTGTTGGTGAATATTTATCATTATTACATTACAAACACAACATAAGTCCTGTGTAGACATTTAGGAAATACATAGAAGGAAAAACAAGAAGATAAACCACCATTCAGGAGCAAAAAAAAAATGTTGGTAACATTTTGATACCTATCCAAACTTTTCCCTCTACATGTTTAAATTTTAAGAAATAAGAGATTTTTTGGCCGGGCGCGGTGGCTCAAGCCTGTAATCTCAGCACTTTGGGAGGCCGAGACAGGCAGATCACGAGGTCAGGAGATCGAGACCATCCTGGCTAACATGGTGAAACCCCGTCTCTGCTAAAAAGTACAAAAAACTAGCCGGACGAGGTGGCGGGCGCCTGTAGTCCCAGCTACTCGGGAGACTGAGGCAGAGCTTGCAGTGAGCCGAGATCCAGCCACTGCACTTCAGCCTGGGCGACAGAGCGAGACTCCGTCCCAAAAAAAAAAAAAAAAAAAAAAGAAATAAGAGATTTTTAAATTGAAAAGTCCTGCTTACATTCTCTCTCTTTCTCTCTCCCTCTCTCTAGTTTATCATTACCAGTTCAAGATCCAGTTCATCAACCAAACTGAGACGCCAATACAAACAACTTTTACCATGTCACTACTCGGAACAAAAGAGAAAATGCAGAAAATTGCCATCACTCTGTGAGTAGGAGGTGTAGCCCCCTAGGGTGATGACGCGCTTATTTTTCTTGCAAGGGTATAAATGAACTCTGTAATTTTCAAGAGTCAGGCCAGCTACTACTACTTTATTCCAGATGTAAACCAAAAAGTATCTGAGACACGTCTCAATCAATTTAGAAGTTTATTTTGCCAAGGTTAAAGACATGCCCATGACACAGCCTCAGGAGGTGCTGGTGACCTGTATCCAAGGTGGTCAGGCTACAGCTTGGTTTTATACGTTACAGGAAGATACAAGACATCAATCAGTACTTGTAAGATGTACACTGGTTTGGTCCAGAAAGGCGGGACAACTCAAAGTGGTTTGGGGTTGGGGGTGCAGGGGAACTTCCAGGTCACGGGCGCATTCAAAGATTTTCTGATTGGCATTGGTTGAACGAGTTTATCTAAAGATCTAGAATCAATAGAAGAGAGTGTCTGGATTAAGATAAGGGGTTGCGGAGACCAAGGTTCTTATTATGCAGATGAAGCCTCCAGGTAGCAGGCTTCAGAGAGAATTGATTGTAAATGTTTCTTATCAGACTTAAAAAGGTGCCAGACTTAGTTAATTCTCTCCTGGATCAGTGAAAAGACCTGGAAAGGGAAGGGAATTCTCTACAGAATGTGGAGTTTCCCCCCAAGAGACAGCTGTTCAGGGCCCTTTCAAAACACATCAAAGAAATATATTTTAGGGTAAAATCATTTAATTTCTTTCAGGGCCTACCGTCTGTCAGGTGATGCTATACTAGACTCTGGCTGGAATTTGGTGTCTTATTGCTACAAAAAGTCTGCTTCATCAGTCTTAAAATCTGAATTTTAATGTTAATGCTGGTCAGTTGTGCCTGAATTCCAAAGGGAGGAGAGTACAATGAGGCATGTCCCACCTCCCCTTCCCACCATGGCCTTGAACTTGTTTTTCAGGTTAACTTTGGAATGCCCTTGGCTGAGAGAAGAGGTCCATTCAGATGGTTGGGGGGCTTAGAGTTTTATTTTTAGTTTACACAGGCTTGAGCATTTGAGCACCAATCACCGTGCAGGGCACTGTGGTAGGTGCCAGGTACTACCTGAGCTAGCTCTTGTCTAAAGCGGAAAACTCTTGGTCCACAAATCAACTGTTAGTGTTTGGTTCTTTTTGTGAACATAAATAAATATTTGGTGCTTCAGAAACAACCCCTTTAGTAAACACAGCCCATCCCACATAGCCATCCTGGTCAGACAGGACATTCACCCAAGCCCAGACCCTCAAGTCCCTCCTCAGCCTCTCCAGGTCCCACCACCTGCTCAATGTTATGCACTGTGGACTGAACAGACAGGGAAACTGGAGATGGCCCCACCAGGGCCTGCAGTACAGAGGCGAGTGAGTGGTGAGGGGCAGAGCAGGTGTTCCCAAGAAGGTCCCAAGAGCCTTTCCAGTGAGTTCATAACCCAGAAATTAAAGTGGTATCTTTTGACTTGGCACAGATTTCCAATTTCAATCAGCCTGCTCTGCCAGCCTCCCCATCTGTCCTTCACCCTGTTACCCACCTGCTCACTCTGAGGCTCCCCAGCCTCTCTGGCCTTTCCGCCCTCAGTGTGGACTCTCCCTGGGAAGTGACAGTGGCCTCTCACCCACTCCAGGGATGGTCCTGAGCTTCCCGAAAATTGCCCCCAGCTTTGGATCTCTGATCATCACACTGATTCAGTCATTCAGCAGCATTTGTTGGTGCTCTGTCCAACACCTACCTAAGGATACAGAGGACCCTAGCCTCTGGATGCTCACAACCTGGCAGGGCAAGGGGATTCCTAAACAATTCTTAACAGCACACTCAGGAAGAGCTATGCCAAGCCACACAAGGGACCCCTCCATCCATCTGCCTCGCCCTAAATCCAGCGCTGCCTCTGCACAGCCAACAATCTCTCCCAGGGGATAGTTCTCAAGAGCAGAAAGGGCAACTCGCTATTCTGTCAACGTTGGGATATTTTAATGTCTTGGAGATTAGTGACTAAAGCTGATAACGATACCTCAGAGTCTGCATTTAAATCTTGCTCTAAATCGGTGCATCCTTTTTATGTGGAGTTTTTCTACTACTGTTATGCCTCACTGTTTTAATAGAGGTTTCTATTTATATGGGGGGAGGAGCATTATGTGGGAGAGAGTGCATGGTGTAGGCATACTATGTTAAACCTACAGAAAGCTGAACTGTCCGGACGCCATTGCCAAAGCCCCTCTGTCTCCAAGGCAGCTTCTTCCTAAAAGCTAAGCTAGAGAAAGTTAACTAGGTTTGTTATAGCGGGACTTCTCAGAGCCCTTTTGATGTGTTAACACAGAAAATAGTATAGTTTTCCCAATTTTATTATCTGGAAATCTCTTTTTTATCCTGGCACACCTACTGCTAGCTCTATCAATAGTCTGTTGAACGCTAGTTTGGGAAATGCAGCAAAAATCCCAAGTCATTCAGGGAAACATAACACATCCTGAATGTGTGTGACCGTCACTTTGCTGTTACAACTAAACTGATTGTGTCTGATTTTCTTTGTGTGTTCAAGGGGCAAAGGAATTGCTAGTAATAAAACATATTCCTTTCTTATCACGCTGGATGTGGATATCGGTGAGCTGATCATGATCAAGTTCAAGTGGGAAAGCAGTGCAGTGTGGGCCAATGTCTGGAACACAGTCCAGACCATCATCCCATGGAGCACAGGGCCCCGCCACCCAGGCCTCGTTCTGAAGACGATCAGAGTCAAAGCGGGAGAAACCCAGCAAAGGTGACCGCTGATTCAATCTCCTGCTAACGTCTATGAAGCACCCGCTTGTGCCAGGCAGTTTCACAATTTAATACTCACGTTCATCATGTGCAGTGAGTATTATTAGGCCCTAGTGATGGAGTATAGAAGCTCAGAAAGGTGAAGTGACTATCCCAACTTTACACAGCCGTAGGTGCCAGGACAAGGATTCGCACCCAGGTCTTTGAATCCCACACCAGCGTCTCCCCACTGCCCGTGGCTAACGCTGCCTGCCCCTGGAGCCTGAGAACCGCCACACCAGCCCGAGGCTTCTCAAGCTTCAGGGCAGGTGAATCACCAGGTGATGTCAGCGCTGCCGCTCCAAGGTGCTGTGCTAGATGCAACATCTCTTTTTTGTTGTTTGCCCAAAGAAACGCTTTTAACAGCTCACAATCTCAAAAATCTCAGTGTATCTCCCTCTCTGTGGTGGTATCTTTCAAATGTCAGATGCCAAAGAATCACTGGGAAGCCAAACACACTTGCAGAATTCCTGGACCTATCTGCAGATTCATGGTGGGCTTGGGAAGGGGTCTAGGATGCCTGTTGTTGAATAACAGCCCTAAGAAATTCCAATGTGGAACAATGGGTCACCCTTAAGAAATGCTGTTGTGTTTGATTTAACATCTCCCGTGGCCCCAAAGTCTCCAGGGATATGGAGGAGTTGGGGTGGGGAGCAAAGAAAAGGAAGGACGGGGCTGGGCGTGGTGGCTCACACCTGTAATCCCAGCACTTTGGGAGGCCTAGGTGGGTGGATCACCTGAGGTCAGGAGTTCAAGACCAGCCTGGCCAACATGGTGAAACCCTGTCTCTATAAAAATGCAAAAATTAGCTGGGCATGGTGGCACACGCTGGTAGTCCCAGCTACTCAGGGGACTGAGGCAGGAGAATCGGTTGAACCCAGGAGGTGGCGGTCGCAGTGAGCCGAGATCGCAGCACTGCAGAGAGAGACTCCATCTCAAAAAACAAAAGAAAAGGAAGGACCCTCCAGCGCTCCTGAAGTCCTCACAGCAGAGCAAAGGGCTGCCCACCAGCACATCCTGCCATAGCGACTGTGCTTTTCTGTCATCCGTGGTTCTCCATGGCAGAATTCCAGGCATCCCTGGGCCCTCTCCTCTCTCCGCCCTTCTCTATTCAGGACACAGTCTCTCCTCTCCCACCTTCCTTGTCGCAAAGGCCATGTTTCTCTTTGGCTTGTCTTCATAGAGGCGGAAAACAGCAGGCTTCTAACCTCTGAACTACCCTCTTCCCTCACCCCCTGGGTTTCAGTGCCAGGAGCCAGCCTGTGGCAGATGTCTGCCCCCGAGTCCCTTACACAACCACACTCTGAGATTTTATCTCCCTAGGGTGCAAAATCCTGGCAGTTTCTAAGAGCATACTCTGCCGTCTGCCAACAGATCTCCCAATATGATCAATCTGGGAAGATTAAACTGCTCGTTCCTCTTCTGCCCTGAACTCTTCTCACATGACTCTGTGGCCCATTGGAGCAGTGCTGCTTCTGAGCTCCGACCCTGCCCACGTGCTCTTAGCTGGAGAGTAATTCCTCAGTTTTGGTGGCTGCTCACCCTGACAATCCCATGTGGCTCGACCTGAAAGGTTGTCCAAAGGACAACACTACCCTCTCCACTGGGGCACACCCATGTGGTACGGAAGAAGAAACGAGGAGAGGGAGGGGCCTGGCGCTTCCGGGGCTCCCACACATGGTGGGCATTGAACCAGGTGCTCCATGGCATTCATCTCATGTGATCTTTGCTGTGACCCTGAAATGGGTAGTATTGGCTGTGCAGGTTAGGAACCTGAGGCTCACAGAAGTTACACAGCTTGGGGACAGTGCTCAAAATTGTCCCAGTCCAGATTTGACTGGGATTTGTTCGATTTATTACCCATTTGTGGAGGGTGTGCTGTTTCCAACAGTTCTTTCTTCCATTAGTTTTGGTTCCATTAATCTGAATTTTCTCAGTCTAATCTAGCAGAGTTGCAGTGCTGGACATTAACATATATATGTATCAAACCCATCCTTAGGGCTGTAGGAGTTACTGCTAAAAAAGCGTCAGGGCATGGCAGTTACGGGAGCTATAATTTTTTTTAGGTTGTAAATATTGAGTGAGTGCTTCCTCTGTGTCTACACAGTACCAGGTACTATTGGAGAACACACATAAAAAAAAAAATCTGAGTTGTGGCTCTTGGTAGAAATAAACTCCAGGACCTAACCGGGAAAATAAGATGAATTAATTTTACTAACAGTGTGGTCCACCCTAGGGCTTCTCCAACTTTCACGAGCTTACAAAGCATCTGGGAATCCTGTTAAAATGCAGGTTCTGCTTTAGTGAGTCTGGGGTGAACCTGATGTTCTGCATTTCTAACAAGCGACCAGGCGATGCTGTTGCTGCGGGTCCACGGACCACACTTTGAATAGTGAGAGTCCAGCATTACACAACCCAGGAAGCGTAAGAAGAAAGTTCAGACCGGTACACTTGGGGCTGTGCTGCAGCACGCTTTGAGGAGGCCAAGAGGTGTTCCCAAGGAGACAGGCAGCCGGCAAAGCAATATGGCTGGCAGGATCAGATGGACTCCAGTGTCAGCCAGTCCTAAACTCACATTTTAACTTCACCGCTCACAATCTGTGTAGCCTCAAGCAATAACTTCACTCTTCAAGACTCAGTTGTTTAGTGATAAATGAGAATCATAATATACATTTCATGACACTAATAACAACTACCAATTTTTTAGTGCCTTTTGCAGACCCAAATCCCAGAATCGGATCGGGATGGAAAGATGAGACTCTACACTCTTAATATCGCTGCTAAGTGCAAGGGGGAAAAGGAGTGGGTTAGGTAACTTGCTCTGTGCCTCCATGGAAGAAATTCAGTGGAAGGGGGTTTTCTTCCCCCAAAGGCACAAAGCCAGGGATGAGTAGGGTTGTGGAGATGGTGAAGAGGAAGAAGAGACTATTGGCCGTACAGCAAGACCAAGTATAATAACTGGCTAAAACTAATGAGAAGACATTTAATTTCCACAGTACTCACATAAATGCAAAATAAAAATCAATGAAATTATCACTGGTTACTCATTAGTTTGGCAGGAATTCAAAAATAGACAACATCCAGAGTTAGTAAAGATGTGGAGAAACGGGCATTCTCATACACTAATAGTGAGAGTGTAAATTACAGGCATTTTGTAGGGGAATTTCATTCAACAACTAATGTTTAGTGAGTACCTACCTTATGCCAGACACTGTTGTGGACACCAGATGTATAATAGTGAACAGACAGGCCGGGCGCGGTGGCTCACGCCTGTAATCCCAGCCCTTTGGGAGCCCAAGGCAGATGGATCACGAGGTCAGGAGATCGAGACCATCTTGGCCAACATGGTGAAACCCCATTTACTAAAATACAAAAAATTAGCCGGGCGTGGTGGCGCATGCCTATAATCCCAGCTACTTGGAAGGCTGAGGCAGAGGAATCGCTTGAACCCGGGAGGCGGAGACTGCGGTGAGCTGAGATCACGCCACTGCACTCCAGCCTGGTGACAGAGCAAGAGTCCGTCTCAAAAAAAAAAAAAAAAATAGTGAACAGACAGAGTCCTTGGTCTCACGAAATGTACATTGTCACATTTTAAATATGCATACTACTTTGAGCCAGAATTTTATTTCTAGGTATCTTATGGTCTTTCTGGAGTATTTGTGCACATAATCAAAATATGCACAAAGGCTATATATGAATACATATGTACAGAATGTCTGTTGCAGTACTATTAAATAAATAGTATACATAATAAGTAAACAGTAAATTCTTGAGAAAATCTTAATGTCTAACAGTAGGAAAATGCATTGTGGTACATCCTTAAAATGGAATGTCATGCAACAGATGAAAAATAGTGAAATAGACTTCTACATACTAATACGAGCAGGTTTCTGAGTGCCATTTTCTGGTACCAAGGAAAAATTGCAGGAAAACATATACAATATGATCCCACTCAGTATATGTGTAAATGCATAGGAACAAGTCTGGAAATGCATAAACCAAACCATAAATGTAGAGAGGGGAGTGATGTTAGTGAAGGCCGATGGCAAAGAAGTTCTTTACTATTTGGCTTCATTTATTCCTTTACCATTTGAATTTTCAAGAATGCAATCACAAATTATTCATAGTATTTTTAAATTTTAAAAGTTCAGTTTAGTAAAGACTTGACCTTAGATGCAATTCAAAGAAAAAAGAAATAATAAACTAGAATTTTTCTACAGATATACCTATAGATATATATTTAACAGATGCAATTGGAATTAGTAACACAAAATGGTATCTCGGGCCAGGCCAATGGCCGAAGCAGTCTAGTTGTTGTTTCTAAAACACATGGTGGTGTCCTCTTTAGTGGACAATGTCAGCTCCAATAAGAGGAAGGGGCAGGGCTTACAGGGCTGAGCCAGGCAGAAACCGATGACAGTGACCTCATGCCATGGACCTTTAAGAACAGCACTGACAAACTGGAGCTTGCCCACAGAGGGAAGGCTGGGGAGGTAGGCCGGCCTTAGGAGGAAGGTTGAGGAACTAGAAATGTTTGTCCTGAAGTCAAGGCAAATATGGTCAAGGAAACAATAGTCACCCTCAAATCTTTGGTGAGCTGTCATACCAGAGAACAAAGGAGGGCTGCCCCAGGACTTTCCTTCTTACAGAACTGAAATCACCCCAGGGTAGAACCCCAGGAAGTCTTATTCTGATTGCTGTCACTGACTTGGGTTTTGTTTTTCTCTGAAGTTACAAAAATATTTGCGAACATAAGAATCTCATTTTTTTTTTTTTTGAGACAGAGTCTTGCTCTGTCGCCCAGGCTGGGGTACAGTGGCCGGATCTCAGCTCACTGCAAGCTCCGCCTCCCGGGTTTAGACCATTCTCCTGCCTCAGCCTCCCGAGTAGCTGGGACTACAGGCGCCCGCCACCTCGCCCGGCTAGTTTTTTGTATTTTTTAGTAGAGACGGGGTTTCACCGTGTTAGCCAGGATGGTCTCGATCTCCTGACCTCGTGATCCGCCCGTCTCGGCCTCCCAAAGTGCTGGGATTACAGGCTTGAGCCACCGCGCCCGGCCAAGAATCTCATTTTTAAAAAGACATCACATGCTTTACACAAATTGAGTGGAATTTGATAAAGGATGAAACACTTCAATAAGCTCCACCTAAAACTTAATGCTGTGTTTGCTTTCTGTTTTCTATTCAGAATGACATTTTGTTCAGAAAACACAGATGATCTACAACTCCGCCCAACCCAGGAAAAAATCTTCGTGAAATGTGAAATAAAGTCTAAAACATCAAAGCAAAAGATCAGATGAGATTTATTGAAGACCCAGTGGAAAGAATAAATGAATCTTACTCCTTATCTGGAATGGTTGCCTTATTTAGAAGCCAAAATTACATAAAGAATCTCACATAAAGCTTGAATAAAATTTAGATTTAAGGGGGGTAATGTTTCACTCTCGTAAACTGAGCTTTTCAAAATGATATAACTATTTTCCAGTATTAGTACAACCAAAAATTTCCCAATTTTATCTCTGGTTAAATGTTAATATATGCAAATAAGTACAAATGCAAGAGCCGGTTTAGATCTGTTGTTCTAATTTACAATGTCTTTTATAATTAAGTCAAGTTTCCCTCATGTCCTTGCTAGTTTATTCTGACCAGTTTTTGAACCATGCTAGAAAGATCCTTTTTATTAGGTAACTAGTGCTTCAATAAAGCAAAATTCTAATTAATCACCACTAGTTGTGTATACCAAAATGCATACCCTTTAAGACAATACAGTTCATAGAAGAAGAAAAAAATTAAAATTATTCTAATAGTTATACAAATCATATAATGATTGCACAGAACCAAACACTTACAAGTAGAATTCTACTAAAATGCCGGGCGCAGTGGCTCACGCCTGTAATCCCAGCACTTTGGGAGGCCAAGGCGGGTGGATCATGAGGTCAGGAGATTGAGACCACGGTGAAACCCCGTCTCTACTAAAAATACAAAAGAATTAGCCGGGTGTGTTGGCGAGTGCCTGTAGTCCCAGCTACTTGGGAGGCTGAGGCGGGAGAATGGCGTGAACCCGGGAGGCGGAGCTTGCAGTGAGCCAAGATGGTGCCACTGCACTCCAGCCTGGGCGACAGAGCCAGACTCCATCTCAAAAAAAAAAAAAAGAATTCTACTAAAACTACTAGTGATAACAGTGAAAGCTGGACAGTTGGTCATTTTAATTATGAAGTTACAAATTAAATAAATATAATTATTGTATCTTACTAATGCTTGCAACAAAAGCTAATTTTAAAAACCCAGAATGTCTCAAAGAATTTGCTATGTACTGAATGTTTCAGTCACCCCAAAATTCATATGCTGAAATCTAATCCCCAATGTGATGGTGTTTGGAGGTGGGGCCTTTGGGAGGTGATTAGGTCATGAGGGTGGAGCCCTCATAAGTGGATTAGTGCCCTTATAGGGGATAAAGGATCAGAACTCTCTGCCATATGCAGATATGAGAAGGCAATTATGCAAGCCAGGCAGTAGACTCTCACCTGGAAGTGGACTACCAGATCTGCTGCCACCTTTATCTTGGACTTCTCAGCTTCCAGAACTGTGAGAAATAAAGGTTTCTTGTTTAAGCCATCCAGTCTATGGCAATTTGCTATAGAAGCCGGAACTGACTGAGAGAGTTAGATGTCAAATTTCAAACTGTCCAATAAGTGAAATAATAATGTTTGACCAGCAAATTCCATCACAAAGCACATGGTGACAATGGACACTAAATATGGTAATCAGTTAGATTTGTGTTTTACATAATTCAGAGAGGAGGAACATGTTACGCACATTAAACAACCTAACCTAACATGCACTTAGGCTCAGCTATATACAGCCCATAATTCATATTCTCTTCACCAAAGCAGGGTAAACTGGGGCTCATGAAAACAAAAATCCTGGAAAGATGTCTACCTCTGACTAATCAATTTAAAATTATCTTGCATGATTCACTTTTATTTCCCTTTGAAAGACCCAGAAATCTAAAACGTATGGGGTGGTGGGATAGGAAGAACAGCTGATCAGTGTTTCCAAATGAAGCATTCTGTCCTGAATGCTAATCTTACCTGCAAAAGTATTTGACCCCACTTTTAGGGAATGTGTGTGAGCGTGTGTCTAAAATGGATAGATACTAAAATGAACAACATTTCCCATTATATCTAAAAGACTAAGGTTTACAATAAAATGCTTGCATTGGATTGCCAGGTTTTATCATTAATGATCCAGAAGGAATTTAAAATACCACTTTTGAAAAACAACAGGGAAACACTCTTTGCTATATATGCGACAGAGTCCATGCATATGTATTCCAGAAGACATGTATGTGAGCCTTGAAATCACCACAACCAGAAACAGCCCAAATGTCTGCCAGTACAATGCAGAAATGAACTGGGGTATAGTCTTGCTAATGGACTGTTGCCGTAAGAAAGATGAGCCAAAGCTACACACACAAAAGAACAGGGCGGGGGCCAGCGTGAGGCAGCGAGGCATCTAGGGAGCAACATTTAAGGAAGCACTCATGCATTTTGCATTTGCACAAAGACACAAAACATGGTATAGTATGATACAAACAAAACCCACCTATATTGCTAGGGATGGATAAGCACCTGTAATCCCAGCACTTTGGGAGGCTGAGGCAGGCAGATCACTTGAGGTCAGGAGTTCGAGACCAGCCTGGCCAACATGGTGAAACGCTGTCTCTACTAAAAATACAAAAATTAGCTGGGCGTGGTGGTGCACACCTGTAATCCCAGTTACTTGGGAAGCTGAGGCATGAGAATCCCTTGAACCTGGGAGGCGGAGGTTGCAGTGATCTGAGATCACGACACTGCACTCCAGCCTGGGCAATAGAGTGAGACTCCGTAAAAAAAAAAAAAAAAAAAAAAAAAACCAAAAGGAAACAAAACAATAAAATCATTATCACAAAAGCAAGGCTGTGATAATCCCAGGAAAGAGGAAGGGCACCCTGGAGTTCCAGGTGCCAGCAACAGTCTACTTCTTACTCCACGTGGTGGGCACTTACACGTTCACTGATTTAACCGTTCTATATATCTACATTTCATGCACTTTTTAGTATGAATGCCACCTTTCACAATGTGAAAATAAAAACAGGGAAAATAAAGGGCAGAGTTAAACAAACATGTTTCTACTATAGTGTGATATGTTTCAAAAGTAATATAGTTTCACAAGCAATATAATTAGAAATTATTTCATCTTTAGTAAGAAAACTTGAAGTGCCACAATACATGGTAACATTTTGGGCAGAGAATTCAACAAGCATCCAACGTGACAAGTGGGTAACTGGAACATTTGAAACTCCTCTTGGCGTGTCCAAATCTGGTTGCCAATTCTGTTGTCAGTGGATAATTTTCACTTGGAGGGATGTGTTCATCGACATCACATTTTCTTAAGTATATTCGAGTAGGGAAGTCAAATTGGGAAACTGAATAATGCAGCCACATCTGTTCGTTGCACATGCAAAATGCTGGCTCGTGAACTGATTATACACACCTCTCTCCATAGAATCTGCATTTATGAGCCCACTCAGGAAAGATAACACTAGCATCTTGCCTTTTAGGCAAAAGCTAATTTGTGCTTCTGCTTGTAAGAGAGCACTGGGAAAGAAATGGAATGTCGATTACACTGCAGCTGGGCTCTTCGAGGTGAGCAAGTCAGAGAGAAGGAAACAAGCACTCCATTCAACATTAAAACGAACGCACTCCGCTGCATCGCAAAGCTCCCTGTCCTCAATGTTCACCTTGAGTCATGTCGGCAGCAAATACCACAAAAGCTTGGATTGCAGTACATATCTGTGGGGCGGCAGAGCAAGGGGTAAAGCTGCTCAGTGCTGTGTTTGCACTCCCACAGAGGCTGGACTAGAGGAAAGTCAGAGCAGGATGGGAAATAGACAAGCAAGACGAAGACTGAAGAAAATCAATCCCAAAAGGGATCATTTACTGGCTGAACTTTTCTTATAATACATACTTCTACTTGAATCCCAATGATCTGCACATGATTAATGGCTCCCAACACATCTCATGCCTTCCCTTCTCTTATCCCTTCCTCCTTTTCTTTTCTCCTCTGCAATTGCTCTCCCTAACTTAGTCCTATTTATCTACTCAGGCCCAGTTATTTTCACCAGTTGCCTCCTAGCCCAGCCAGACCACGGAGATCTTTCTCTCTTCTGAGTGCCTGGCAGTCACATAAGCGATGCTCTCCACCATCCACTTGGCCCTTAGTTATTTGTGCCCCGCTGATTCCCCTCGAACCTCCCAGCCTCCTCCCAGCCTCCACGCTGCTCCCTGTCCTCCACTCAGCCATTCCAGGGGATCCCAGGCCTCCTTCTCTGCTGGCATGGTTCTCTCTTTATAGGCAATCTCACCCACTCCTATGGCTTTATTTCTGACCAAACACATAGGCCAACTGTTCTCACTGTAGAACTCCAGCCTGGACCTTCTCTCCAGACCCATATTTCCATATATTATGCAATTGTCCATTCAACAGTTCCCCCTGTGTCATCTCTCCCTGCGTCCAAAAATGAATGCATGATGTTTCTTGCCCCTGGAACCTGCTCGTCCCCATTCTCTCTGTTGTCTATCTCCTTGAATGTCATTACCTCACCCAGTTGCTGGTGCTGGACTCTGGGCAGTCATCTATTATGTGTCCTTCCCTTTGGCCCTTCACAATCCAACAATCACCATATCCCACGAATTCTACGCTTATTTCTTAAGCGTGTCTATATCCCCCCACCTCTACTGCCATCAACCCAGCGCAAGCCGAACTATCACTTACCCAGACGTTTGCAACAACTTCCCAACTCATCCCCCAGACCCCCTCCTCCCTCTCAATCCCTTCCCGCACAGCGACCAGAGTGACCTTAAAAAAAAAAAAAAAAAAAAAAAAAGTTATATCATTTTCCTGCATAAAACCTTCCCAATGACGTCCCACATTTTTTGGAAAAAATCCAAAATAATTACCCTGGCCTTCAAGGCCCCCAATGAAGCCCCTAGTTTTCTCCCCAGTCTTGCCTCCCATTATTCTCTGTCACTTACTAGGCCATTGTCCAGCTCCACCCACAGAGACTCCACCCAGCCTGCACTTTATTTTTTATTTTTATTTATTTATATATTTATTGGAGACAAAGTCTCACTCTGTCACCCAGGCTGGAATGCAGTGGTGCAATCACAGTCATTGCAGCCTTGACCTCCTGTGGCTCAAACAACTCTCCCACCTCATCCTCCTGAGTAGCTGGGACTACAGGTGCACACTGCCACATCCGTCTAATTTCTAAATGTATTGTAGAGACAGGGGTCTCACTATGTT